TACCGTCAAACAATTTACTACGTCTGTATTGCTATTACTATTAGTCTTCTCATCATTCCTATCACCCATCTCCTCCCACTTATGACTGTATGACTGTAACTTCATTGCTTGTATCCTTACGATGTATATCGATTGTTTTCTAGGATGATTTGATTGCTTATTTGTACCCTAAGACTTTCATTAAGTGTTGTACCTTATGATTCGTGACGAATGCATCTTTTCTTTTATGTACACTGAGAGCCTATGCACCAAAGACAAATTCCTTTTGTGTCCAATCATACTTGGCCAATAAAGAATTCTATTCTATTCTTATTCTGTTCTCTATTCGAATTTGAATTCTATTTTTATTCTATTCTAATCTAATCTGATCCACAGTCCTCTTCTGAGACCACCAGGAAAAGATCTTAATGCAAGGCATCATTGCATCAGATCTATCTAGAAAATGGGTCTCCCCAGGAATTCTGGGAGTTGAAAGTCCGCCAGGCTTAGTGTTCCCAAGGCTGGACACCCCTGATCTAGAAAATAGAATAGAAATAGAATAGAATAGAATAAGTATAGGGAACAGAATAAGAATAGAATGGGGCTTTTTAATGCTTTGAGGGAGTGTGTTTCACTCATGTCCATACAGTTTGCCTTAGTGACTTTTTCTTTTAAAAGATTTTACAGTATTTTTAAAAAGTAGATAATACCTTCTGTTGTTGATCAGCAATCTAAAGTTGTGGTCATGTCTTGAAAAATAGTCCTGGGAAATAATCTCTATCGATCTTCTGAAGCTGCTGCCCTCTAGAATTTTTTGTACTGATTAGGATTCCGTTGGTACTGTGACAGCCTGCCAGTATAACAATTAGTCACTTTCGCCATTTTGGCATGCCAGTTTCCTTCTGTCAAATAGCTTCCCCAAATTAAGGGGAGATTCTTCCTTTTAAGACCACAGATGAGTAATATAAATACCGCTGAGTACTTAAGCTAGGAAGACTCCTTGTGAATCCTTGGATATTAAAAGGGTTCTTCAGTTCTAAGCAGACCTTACTAAGCTTGTGACCTGCTTTGCTTATCCCTGATTTTTACCTTTGCTGCCTTTTGAGTGAGAAACTGCTGCCAGCGTCTGTTCTTGTAGGAGAAGTGTGTCAGGGTTCCAAAAAATACCCCCAACTAAATAAAACTCCCAAGTTCCACTTTATTAGAGATGTCACATTGGCACATTTGGGAAAACCCGAATCTGAAAGCTTCCCGGTTTTCCCACCCAGTTGAAAGTTCAAGATGCTGCCCCAACACCCACACATCCATCACATGGTCCAATCTTATACTGCCACAAAGACAGATTCCTCCCATCTACATATGGCCAGGTGCAAAGACAAAAGCGACCTTGACTTTCTAAGAATGTTGTTAGGGCTACACATCACCCAACTCTGTATAATCCCCCCTCCCATTTTCCCACAGTAGAAAGTGTGGCAGGCCTGAAACCCAAAAAGAAAAGATGGTTTGCAGGTCTGACAAAGTGGTGATGTGGCCCCACAGTACTTCCTTTGTAGTTGCACTGAGATTTTCATTGGTGGTTGTTTTTTTCCTTTCTCTTTCCTCAGGTAGCAACTGGGATACGGGAACGCTGGACTTTTAAGAGCATCTTCCATGGACAAGAGGACATCTCGCAGCTTTCGGTGGTGGATGGCATCTAGAAGGATTTTTGCCACAAGTTTCCCGGGAGAACCAGAGCTGGCTCTTGTGTCCTGAGGGCAAGAGCTCTAGTTTTGCAAAGCGCCAGCTTTTCTGCCAATGCAGAACAAGAGAAGGAGCACATCTCATTCTTGCAAAGTGACGTTGTGTTCTTCCGAAAACTCAAACAAGACTTCTGCAGGCATTTGGAGAGCTGTTTTTGGCCACGCTTCTCCCTGCCCTTCCAGTGGCTTGTGCAACGACACGTTGTGTAACCATCTTACCCCTAGCCAGTCTTCCCAGTCTCTGTTTGTACTTTGGCCTCTTTCCAGAGTAGATCATGGAGGTTCTTGGCCACCCCAGGCCCACCAGAAGCAGGGTGTAAACTCTGAAATGGCCCCTGTGATAGGCCAGAGACCTGCTATACACTCAAGGTTGTTATTGGTGGACAGGGGAACGGACTGACTGCCTGCTCAGGGCAGCTTCTTCCTGCCTCAGGAATTTGCAGGGCACTGGCCTAGCGTGGCCCAGCCTGCCCTCTTTCCCCCTTCATCATGTTTCTACTGCTGCCCTTTGACAGTTTGGTAGTTAACCTCTTAGGCATTTCCCTGACCGTCCTCTTCACTCTGCTTTTGGTCTTCATCATTGTACCAGCCATCTTTGGAGTTTCCTTCGGCATCCGCCGTCTCTACATGAAAACCCTTCTACAGATCTTCCAGGTGAGTTGACCCTGCTTTGACATTCCTGGGGGGGCTTGGGGGGAGCCAACCTGAGGCTGGGTTGTGCCAGCAACCAGCACAAAATGAATGAATCAGCTCTTGCAACACAGGTCTTGTATGCTGGATTAGGAAACAGGGAGTTTTAGGAAAGTCCAGCTGTACCATGGGTTGACAGCGTCCCTGGAAGTTGTGACGTAAGGACAAATGAAAATGTCCCTGGCAGGCAGGTGCAGGGTGTTGCTTAACCATTAACATTTCCCCTGCATGGGGATTACTTTCAGGTCAGAATGAAGTAGCAGCCGTACAGATAGTAGCCAACAGCAGCTCTTCTACAGCTCAAATTCGGACTTCAGTTGTTCTGATCTAGGCTTCCCAAGAGCATGAAGCAAATTTCTTGTCCTGACAAAAAACCCTTTTATTAATTTCCTGTGAATTCTGCTCATTCACATCCAGCAAAGTCTTTCAAGGGAGGATTTACAGTCACAGACCTTATCTGGCTTGGAGAGCTGCCGGGCCGATACCTGCAAAACTGGCAAGGGGTCTCAAGAGAGTTACGAACCAATTAAGCGAACTAATTGTCTCCTGCAAACTCCCCTTTCTCTCATTTATTATTTCCTCTGGGAGAGGCCATTCACCATCCATCTGTGGCCTTACTCCCGAGTCGACCCCTGTTCTTTAGCTGTTCCCTTCGTCTGGCAACTCTGCGCATGTGCACACTGGGAACAGGCTCCAGCTGTTCAGCTGCCTCCTCCCTAATGTCTGACTCTGAAGGCAGCTGATAACTGGCAGACGGCTCTGGCCTCCTCACTGCCTCCCAATACCGAGCCCTCCTCAGAACCTTCCCCAGACTCCAGGACTGGCCCATGTTCCTCCCCCAACCTCCACACTTGGCGCTGGCGGGCCACAACGCTGATGTAGACCAAAAAGGAAGACAGTGGGCAGTCATAAGCTGGCCTCATAACCATATTCTCCCCCCTCCAATCACTTTTCAATGATGGAAATAACTTCCCTTTTTTTTCCATTTTTCACTTTCTGGAGGGCTGCCTCGCCCGAAAACTGAATGCACAACCTGGGACACCCATTACCACTGTTCATTAATTCTACCAGAGCCTTGCTTGGTGCAGTTGCACAAACAGCTGCACCTAGGAAACCAGTTGCTGGGAAATTACCTATCCCTTTTCCTTTCTTATTCCTCCAAAGCCCTCATTTCATCCAACATCAGACGTATGACAGTTGCAAATCTTAACTTAAAATATGGTTTATTACTTCAGTTTCCTTACTGTTCATTATTTTTGAAATTGTCTAAAATCAAATCATTGTACTGTATAATAGATCATGTCAAAAGCAGGTCCTGTTAATAGGTTAACAGTAATAAAGTATGGAAAAATAAAAAAATAAGATGACGTTATTAAAAGTTAGATAGCAGGGTGCTTTTAGAGATTTTCTTTGGTTTCCTTTGAAAGGAAGTTGTGAAAGCAGTATCTTATACATCTTTAAAAGAAAAACCATTAGGGCACTTGTGGGTCAGTGTTTCCATGCACAACAACTTCAAAATCCCTTTCATGGCCTGGCCCACCTTAGTTCAGATTCTTACCAGCTTGTTGTGATTGTTTAAACAAGTACAAATTATAAGTACAATTACTTTTTTATTATCCACGTAGAACCCAGTTCTCCATTTTAGTGTCCACCTTTTTACATTGTAAAGAGATAATTTAGGAACCTGTCATTTTTGTTTGTACCACTCCAGATAATAGAATAGAATAGCATAGCATAGATGAATATGAATAGGATAGAAAACAATGGAATAGAATAGAATAGAATTCTTTATTGGCCAAGTGTGATTGGGCACACAAAGAATTTGTCTGGTGCAGATGCTCTCAGGGTACATAAAAGACAAGATACATTTGTCAAGAATCATAAGCTAGAACACTTAATGATAGTCGTAGGGTACAAATAAGCAATCGGGAAACAATATTAATATAAATCGTAAGGATACAACCAACCAACCAAGTTACAGTCCTAAGTGGGAGGAGATAGGTGATAGGAACAATGAGAAGACCAATAGTAATAATGCAGCCTTAATGAATGGTTTGACAGTGGTGAGGGAATTATTTATTTCAGCAGAGTGGTGGCTTGGGGAAAAAACTGTTCTTGTGTCTAGTTGTCTTGGTGTGCAGTGCTCTATAGCGTCATTTCGAGGGTAGGAGTTGAAACA